CCAAGGGATAGGGAAAGTTTCCTGGCGAGTGTAGTGAGTCCCCATCACTAGGAGCATTCAGGCCTAGACTGGACGGTCTCCACCTTGTGTAGGAAGCATGGCCCTGGATTCTCACCAGTTCTGTGTTTTCTAGCACCTGGAAAGGTCACCGGCATTTGATTCTGGTAAATTCTTATCCAGTTGAGGGCTGAGTTCCCTCCTGGGCTGGTCTGAGAAGGGCCTCCTGGAGTGGACTGTAGGTGGAGGCAGGGACACAGTGAGGACCCAGATCACATGCAGGAAGCATTTTTGCTCTGACATGAAAGGATGATAGGTTAACATTTCTAAACTTTTAAGTCAAACATTTGTATTGACAGGAACCCAAAAGTGCCCCTGTAGCTTGTCCCTGCTTGCCCAGGGAGTTTAATTAAACATTCTGGAGCCTGAGATACTGGAGACCTTCAATGTTTACAGAATGACGCTGACCTTTCAAAAGCAGTCCTGCTATGGCTTCGTGTCCCTTGGCCAGGGTGGAGGGACAGGGAGGTGTAAGTGCTACTCTACCTGGGGCTGTCTGCTGCTAACTGTGGGAGGAGCCGATATCAGAGCCTTGGGGGTCCTCAAGGCCCCTCAGTGGAGACATAGAAGCCCAAGGAGGGTGGGCCATACCAGGGGTACATTCGGCAAACTGGAGGCAGAGCCAGGCCTGGCACACCAGGCACAGGCCGCACCCCACCAAGTGACCACGGGCCCCAGAGTGGGTGTGTGGCCAGTACAGGAGGAGCCTCTGAACTGCTTAGTTGAGAAAGGGCCCAGCTGGGACCTGAGATCCTGAGCCTCTGTGCATCAAGCCTGCACTGCTCTACCGGCCTCATCTGTAGCTGGGTTCTCCATCTTCCTGAAATCGCAGGGTGACCCTAAGGAGAGATGGAGCTTCACCCCATTTTACAGGTAAGAAAAATTCCCAACAGACAAAATAGTTTCTGTCACTGTATAGAGAAAGTATATTCGGTCTCAAGTTGCTACAGTAAGATTTAAATGCAGCCTGTGAATTTGAGTAACACCCAAATAAAAGTTCACCTAAGACTAATTGGACCGAAGTCTGCATATGTGCATGTGAATGTTATAAATCATTTGGAGCAGAAAGGCAATACAGGTTGAGCATCCCTAATCTGAAAATTCGAAATCTGAAACACTCCAAAATCCCAAACTTTTTGAACACCAATGTGATGCTCAGAGGAAATGCTCCTCGGAACATTTCAGGTTATGAATATGCAGATATTCCAAAATCTGAAAAAATCTGAAATCTGAAACACTTCTGGTCCCAAGCATTTCGGACAGGAATACTCTCGCTCCGTGAGAGTGTGCTTCTGTCAACCCTGTTTTCCTGATGAGAAGCAGATTTCACTCTCCCCGGGTGCCAGGCTGTCTGCTTCCTTGTTTGCCCATGGGCTGGCCTGAGCCACAACCGACCCTTGTCCCACTCTACATTCTGGTCTGGACTTCAGAGCCTCCTGCACTCCATCCTCTAGGAGGGAGGTCTGGGCAGGGCGGGGCGGGTAGTCAGGAAGCCCAGCTCCAGGCTCAGTCTCAACCTGGGGCTCGCACCAAGTCCAGAGACTGTGGTGGGGGGAATAGGGAATAAGTGACATCCGAGGCAGCACTCTACCAAGTGGGGTGGTGCACATGGGGAGTGAGGGTCACTCCAGCCCACTGGCTCAGCTCCCTCTGTCTTCCCAGGGCCAGGATGATGCCTAGCACATATTAAGCACTCAGCCTCTGCTGAATGAGTGAGTGAACGAATGAATGAATGAAGGGACTCAGAGGGCTGAGCGCTGGCTCTGCCACCAACACTAGAGGGTCCCTTACCCTTTCAGGCCTCTGTGTCTCCATCTGTAAAATGGGTGGGTGTGTGATCTCCAAGTTTCCTTCATCACAGAAGTGCTCCCACAGGCTTTGAGGCCTCCATAGTAGAAGCAGGAAAGCCTCACTGAGCAGCCAGGGCAGTAGGGCAGCCAGGACCGTGAGGAACCAGTGCCCCTATGAGAGCCCTGGCAGGGCACCTACCTCCCCTGTAACTTAGGGGTACTCCAGGCCTAGGCTGCCTGCTGCTAGGAGGGCCACCACAGCCCAGATGACCATTCAGCCCTGGAGAAGCCAGGTTTAGGGTTGGATTGGATACAGTGCTGATCAAAGAGGCACCAGGCACAGATGTGACCTACCCCATCTCATTTCTTCCTGAACTTCAGAGGTGAGGCTTGGAGCAGCCTGTCCCTCGCCAAGGCCACCCAGGTAGCATTAAACCCTGTTTTAGTCTGTCTTGTGTTGCTATAACAGAATTACCTGAGACTGGGTAATTTATAAAGGAAAGAGGTTTATTTGGCTTACGATTCTGGGACAGTTGCATCCGGCATGGGCCTCAGGCTGCTTCTAATCATGGCAGAAAGTGGCAGGCAGCGGCGGGTACAAGCAGATCACATGG